GCTGTGGTCTCCTTGGAATGCTTGCAAAAGACCCGCACCAAGCTCTTTCCCTTACCCACCCCTTTCTCTTCTTTTAACTATAAGGTTAAAATGAAATTAGATGAACTTCGTGACTGTGCAGTGGTAAAACATCATTTTCAACACTGTAGCTTCCGTCTCCGATGACGATGAGCTGGGGACCACTTTCCTTGAATGCGATCCGATCCATATGTGAATCATGTTCCCTTCGATCGGAAAATGACCCACAAAGTATGAAATCGAGGGGAGAGTTATTTTCCTTCTAACAACTCTTCCTGCCATCTCTGTGCCAGCAAATAAAGCCATCTCTTCTATTCAAAGGTCAAGACCAAATCCGCTGGCTAAAGCTAGGGACTCGGTTCCTTCGAAGATTTGAGAGTTAGAAGTTTCTCGGCTTTGATCATCAAGGTGTGAGAAAGAGCCAAGACTGAAGCGAAAAATTTCTGCAAAAGATAAAACATATAGCTAGACAAAGATCATGGCAACCTCGGAGGAGAGAGAATTCATAAGAAGGTTGGGGGTAGCGAAAGCCTTCGAAGTGAAACCTAACATGCTCAAGCCTACTACTTATTGATACGTCACACATAAAGAGCTATGGTACAAATTAAGGCTATTCACACCGAGTTTGATGCTAACGCGGTCAGGTAGTTTGAACATGGGGAAACAAATTTAAAGAAAAGAAACAATCCTTTCGTGGGTAGGCCTGTTGCTTAATACTTTGGTCAAGTTGCGGGCTGAGATGAAGGAACTGGTAATCCAAATAACTGGAAGGGACGCTACAATACTTTCAAGAAGACATCATGAGCAGAAGTTCCCTGTGAATTTAAATAGAGGATAGCGTGAGTCACTGTCCAGAATGAAGGTAAACGCTCAATGTTACTCGAAGGAAGAACGAATGCTGAGCTGCTGTCAGGTTGCCCAAGTCGAAACAGTAGCAATCGAGATAAAGACGCCAGGTTCCATCCATGGGCTTTCCGGTCAGTAAATTCGAGCTTTGACCACTGAGCCATCTTAAGCGCAGTGAGGCGAGCTGAAGCCAATCCGACTGGAATGGTCCAAACAGCCTGGACAGGTGTATTGGCACAGTGTGGGATGCGTTTCTGAAATGATACGTGTAATCTCAACACAGTTTTCTATCCAAGTGGCTTTCCAGTTTTGATAACCAGGTAGAAAATCACTTGATATAAAAGCGGATGATCACTGCGTCCATGAACTAGGCGAAACTGGTAGGTGAATCGATCGACACATACATGCTTATTTTTCTCCGAACAATACTACCCAACTCCACAAAACGAGAATACTTCTACATTTTGTACCCTAACAGAGGGCCACAAGGTACTTTTTGAACAAACAAAATGCCCCCGGGACTACGGGACGCAGAAGGGCAATATGCGATTCATAGTGACAAATGCTAGACCGATGCGTGTCAAATGAAGGCCGGCAACTATCGTCCGTTTAAGCGGCACTGTTCAGCAGCGGAAAAGGGAGACATGCGCATGTAGGCCTCAATCCAGACGCAACTCACACACGACTACTTGAACGTATAAATTGCTGTCTGCTTCAATGTCCATACAATCTGGCGCGTGCTCCCATCTCTGTGACTGATTATTTCGAGGGGCTGGGCAAGGCGGTCGGATTCGTCAAGTGTTCTTTCCCGTGGCGTGACTTTTAAAATAAAGACTGAGGGTATGAATAGGCACGCAATCAATCCGGTTTTCGCGAACACAATCATTTGCTACGAGGAAGACCGCGGTTAGGAAATGCAAAAAGTGCTCATGTTTTTCTTCGGGTGTTTATCCGAAATAGGAAATGGATTTTAATACAACCCTTCCTGTTTTGTGTACCCTTGTCCTTTATTTTTCTTCCCGAGAGAAATGAGTGTAACTCGTTTTGTATTCGTTCTTCACTCGACAGGATTACTGATGAATTCGACCTTTTGCATAGGGACTTTGTTCCCAGAGGTCACGCCAACAAACGGTTGATCGTTAGGTGTTTTTGAGAATAGTTCAGTAGTACGCCAATTTGTAAAGAACCACATGTTTTAGCCAGCCTGTGGTGAACAGTAGAGCATTTGTTCCCCTTCCGCGAATCCCGTCAAACCGATGTTTTCTAACTCCGGTGAGACCTATCATTTTGAGTATGTTCACAATTAATGTTCAGTTGAATTTTTAGCAACTGTTTTGATCCCTTTCGTTCAACTTTACTCGATCTCCCTATCCAGCAGAAAGCTGGTTTTGTCCTAAGTATGGACACTGGCATTATTAGACGAGTAATGATCACGTGCTCAAACCCACAGATCCCACTGTTACATTCATGGTTCATGGGGTTGCAGCACGAGAAGCCACCTCATTTATTCCCGAAATCACGCCGTCTTCCACAATGTCCCTTTGCAATCAGTGCTTTGCACAGCGAGCAATTCGGCTTCAATGTCATCATCATAATCATAATCATCATCATCATCATCATCGACAGCATATCATCGGTGTTCAGCACCGATGCATCACTGCCGTACAACCATGATTTACTTCAAAACTTTATTGTGAAAAAAACAGTAAAGGTGAACGGAAAAGGGACTTAGTGCTAGCTCACTACAATCGTTCCGAGGTGCCTACACCTTCAGACACTCATTCAGACAATCTGGATAGAAACTGATAACAAGAACGCCATTCACCCCGGTTGGCAGTCATACCCTGCAGCATCTCCAACTAGACATTGTGGGGGTCACGTGGTCTCCATCCTGGAAGGCGAGTAGCACAGGTAGCACCCAAGCGTTTCGCAATCTCCTTAATACCCCTCTGCCAGGTCAAGAGTTGCTCACCTCTCTGCTTCCGCCACTGAGGGGGGCATGGAAAACAGCACTCTCTTCGGNGTCTTCGGCAAACGATGGTTCGGCGTAAGCAATACATGTCCCAACCAAAGTAGCTTCTGGTGCTGGTATCTTGCCGTCTATGAATCAATTTCCCGGGATGACATAAAGAAAAACCCTCCTTTTGTCTAAGTGTAGAGCTCAAAATTTTGAGGCGTTTTATCAACCAAAAAGTGGACTATTATGGGAGAAGCAGGCTCAAATGACGTTTCATGCGGGATTCTGCTGTGACCTACGTGTTATGCTGAATAATAGTCTGAGAAATGACGGAAATTCTGTCAGTCTATCTGAAAATCTAGTCTCATTTTTTAACATGCCACAGGGTGTGTCTGTTCAAACTCATTCACCTTCAACGGACACACCCGAATAACTATTCTTTCCATTTGAAAAATGCAGTAATTTCTACAACAGGAGTGTCTGATTAATTTAGGCTCCAAAAATAATTAGTTTCTGGGTAGTGTTATGCTGTTTGGCCAGAATGAGTATACCGTTAGGCAAGTCTCGAAATTTATGGGTCCAAACTTTGGTGGCATACATAAGAGGCGCTAGTGTACCATCAGGATGCGTTCACAGTAATATCAGCAAAAACGAAGATGTTAGACCGAAAAAAATAATAACCCAAGGAAGTAAAACATAAAATTTATGCTTAATAACATCATAAATCAAATTCAGCTGGGTTTCAGGTGAGTCTAGCCCAAAAAACCAAACTGGTTCGCAGGTGATAATATTTCCCCAATTTCGCGCAATTTGGAACGTTGCCTACCTAACGAGCTTCAGGAAGGGCGAACCCTGTCGTGAGCTGTCGAAAAAAATCAGCAACCTTACGAGTAGTGTGTTACGTCTATTTGCGTACCGCGATATCTTGAAACATGAAATGGCCTGCTGCAGCACATTCAGTTACCTGAAAACATCACAAACGAGAGACTCAGTGAGGTTCTAGATGGGTCTTCTGTCAAAACCCGATTGCTATGCAAATGAGTGTATTTCGCTGAAACTCGTATACTTTTTGTTGTTATTAAAAATTTATATTAAGTAATAGTGAATACAATCGAGTATCATGGCAATCCAACGGCGATATGTGTTTTGTGGAGACTAGGAAAACTTAATGTAGAGTTTACGGGAAAAATAGGAGTAAAAAAGTTCCCAGGATAACCGGGATCAAGTTTTATCCATGAGACACAACATTCAGCCCGGCTGAAGTAGGTGGATGCAGGTTTGTAACGTCAGTGTTGCTAGATACTTTCCTGTGGTCTGCTCAGGGGTGATTTTTAACCAATCAAAGTGATTACTTCCATCTCGGCACTACCATGAGTTTCAGCATTTCACACTTGATCACCCGTAGAAAGTGAAAGTCAATATTCTTGGTGAGCTAAAGGACGCGGTTGATAGTGTGAGACGCAAAAACCACACTACAGTTTCGGATTACTGTATCCTGGAGAATCCCAGGTGTTTTGTTGCAATAGTTGTCTCATCGCTTCCATCCTTGGCAGACTAGTAGACTCGGCCTCGTCTACTTACTAAAATACATACACACTTACCCTATCTACCTACTTAATAACTCTTGCATTAAATATGTTAGTTTAAATGTGTCCACGACCCGTCGGATTTGATTAGCGCCGTTTAGAAGACAGTCATCTTCATTGGATTACTCCGGTTATTCATTCCCGAAGGTGACATGTTCAGGGTGTAGGTGTTATCTTCCAATTGAGAGGGAAGCGAACCACGTAAGAAGTTGACTATGAGCAGTGCTAACCTTTTTAGCATCTGGTTCACACTATAACATGTGCTGGTACTCACTTGACGTCGAGTCTGGGATACGTTTCATGGTTAGAAGGTTGACACGGAATGCAAGAGGAAACCCGCTGAGTTGGACAATGTACTCAAAAATATTCTTGTGACAACTGGGTCTAAATAACCCTGAGTACTGATCGAGAACAATGGTACTCGTCACACCATTGGTGTAGTTCATAACCACTAGTTCATGCTTACTCAGCTGAGAACCATTGCTTCTCCCTTCCAATCAGACAATCTTGGCCCGATCTACCTTGGTATCTTGAACACCAAAGAGTTGCTGAGTAGACCGACACTTGGAGACAACCGCAGTACAAATACTCTCCCTGCGAGATCTTTTCCGGCCGATACCAACACAATCTTCGCTGGACCCAACTGGGAAAAATCTGAACTGACCTTTACAAACAATCTGAGCTTTGGGTTTTCAATGACGTCAGCCGATCTCCGAGATCGATCAATGCAACTGGTCCAAGTGCAAGGATTTTCATCGATCCTACGTGACGTGCGGAGAGAACATACAGCCATCAAAAAGAAGTACAAATATCTCTCAAAATCAATCAGCTTCTTACTTAAGCTCATCCACCCAAACGTGATTCGTACATTTGGAATTTGGTCCGAAGATTCTTCAAGAATGTCATTGCCTTCTCTGGTCAGTGAGTGGCCGAATCAAGGTCCTTTAGACGAATATCTGAAAAAGGTATGATTTGTTTGTTTTCGAAACAAACTGTGAACAAAATGATTCATTCTCAAACCCTGTATAGAGTAGCTCCTTATTTGGAAAGTTTCACGTTATTTTGTGAATTTCTCGCCAAAATTTCACTGAATGGACAAGTTGATATGATCCTTTAAATTCTATGTGTTGGGATGGTCGGAAGAGAGCATTTTCACCACAGTGAACTGAAAGTTGTAAACAAGCCACAAAACAGACCTCATCCACATCAAAGTGAGTCCCAAGAAGGGAGCGGATAACGACTTTCCTTTTTTTTGTGGAAAATATGACCATAAAGATGAAATTAAGGAGCCTTCATCTACTAGCAAAAATCAAAGTGAGCCCCAAGAAGGGAGCGGATAACGACTTTCCTTTTTTTTGTGGAAAATATGACCATAAAGATGAAATTAAGGAGCCTTCATCTACTAGCAAAAATCTTTGTTAAATCTAATTATTAAATTTGTCTTCCGGTTTGGTACGCACTGTCCGGTTTCGGACAAACTTCAAAGTATAGAGATTGTCTTGACATCATCAGCGATAGTAGATTTATGTGTAAGTGTAAGACACCGCAAATCAGTTCACTTGCCTCCTGAATCCACCTGAATTGCAGTGACTAATGGGTATGTGTGTGTGTGATTACCTTTTGCCTCACCCTTCGTTCTTCTTGGGGTAAACATGTATTTTTCCAGACTGGCCACCTATAGACTTTCATTACAGCTTTCCGAATAACCTCGTTTCGTTTCCATAGCTACGTCCTGTTTGGACATCCATTTGGACAGATCGACACTAATTGTTTGATAATGTCTTCCACAGCGTAAGTACTAACCCGTACTAGTTTAATTGCCCCTCGTTATGTCGACAAAAGTTAAAACTGATTAGATCACGTCACCCTGAAACCCGAAAGATCAACTGAAAAGACTGTAATCTGTCAGCAATTGGTGGTGAACTGGGAGGGGGGAGTTGAAATTTCGTCTTACAATGTACCTCGTTAGTGACGTTAATCTATGCTGAGAAGCTGCACATCCGTTTTATCCATGTCTGGAATCATTAGCAACGTGTGTCTCAAACCACGCAGCTCTTTACCACACAGCTACGTCTTGGGTGACAATAAAGTGCTAAATGTTCCCAGCTGTACGATGCTTCTGGGCTTTACGATACACGATGGCTCCAGATATATGGTGAAATCTCCAGGAGCCCTTTTCATTATGGCCTTACAGCGACTGGAGAGTCCAAAACAGCCTGTCTGACCGGATAAAACACGATTTCCCGGAAGCGCTGAGAGATGCAGTATTGTACTTATGCGTGCCTTCTTTGGAACCGAGTTAACTAGATCAACGCAACAGGAATAAAAGAATAGTTCGAATACCTCATCACGTGACTCCATTCATTTTCACGGGTGAACACTGCTCCGGTTGCGGCAACAAATATTCGCGCTAGCAGTTCCATCTTGGTCGAAAACAATAGCCTAACTTGTTTGGATTGAGATCTGCGGAAACGCTTCTGATTCCTCTATACGCGCCTCATTATCGGTCATCTATGGACTGGCAAACACAGTTCAACTCCAGTTGAATCACGTGTCTCTTTTGAGAAGCCTTTGTTCAGTTGCTGAACGAAACGCCCATTATCAAAGGGGAAAAGGGACATTAGGAAGCGGTATTCTAATTGGCGAAGAGTGTATTTTTAAACAATTTGCCCCGAACTATTCAGTTGTGTTGAAGAACTGAAGCGCGACGTATTATTTCCCAGAAATTGGGTTATGGCTTTTACATGGGGGTGATTTTGGTTGTTGCAGGGCCCGTAGAAGTCGCAACCACATCACACTCGTTTGAACCGTCCTCCCCCAGGGCTGGCTTTATTGGTTCGTGAGTTCACACGAAAGAGAGCTGCACCGAACTTGGACTTATAACAGCTCATCAGCAGCGCGCATAGCCTTGACCTTATCGGATTTTGAACTCCGGACTTCTGACCTAAGAGAAAAGTGTGTCAATACCACTAGATTAGCGTACACTGGACACATCCTAACTATCAGGTCTGATCCGGCGAACATGCGCAGTCAAGTTCACATTAACAGACACGACATCAGCACTGCGGAACTTATCGTAGAATTCACACAATGGCACTGACAGATGGCATCTTTTGATCTGTCATGTGAACTTAACTAGCCCTACGTAGTATGTGGCTTCATCGTTGTGGCTCAATTGATGGGGCACTTGTCAGTTAAGGGAAAGGTCGCAGGTTCGAGCCCCATCCAAAAATATCGTCTTTTGTAGTATGTGCACTTGAGTTTATATGCAAGATTATCCACATTTTCGCTTTTCCTATTACTACTCAAAACTTGTTTCACCCAAAAAGGTTGCAACGCAAACTGTTTACCATTGAAGAGCTTCCTACTAAAGAGAAATACACTCATTTGCAAATCAATTTGGTTTTCACGAGAGACTCAACTAAATTTGTCGTTTATGATATTCTACAGCGGAACGTGCTACACACAGACCGCCTCATGATTCAGTTGGCATGATATTCGATGTATCGCAGTATATTTTCATAAAAGAAACTACTCACAAGGTTGCTGAAGAGTTTTCAGCAACCTTGCGAGTAGCTTCCTTTATGAAAGCTTTCTACTAGCTTTTGGTATGCTCTGTCGGTTCATATTCCCGATCAATGATATCACAGTAGAAGACTCGGCTATCGACAATGCATCTGGTATTGCTCCACCAGCACAACTTGGGGAAGTTAAACGCGATTATGGGCCAAGTGCAAAATGTCTTCTAACCTCCCTAGAAATAACAGGTGTTCTCACGTTTTGTCAAGCAAATCTAGTGAGAACCTGACAGCAAAGATGCTGGATAAGGAGAACAATACCCTCTGATTAGCAACGGTTGATTCTTGCTGGCAAACAACAAAAGGACAGTCGTACGCCAGCTGACTGGAACTTTCAGAAAAGATCAATTTTTCACTAGTTGGCCAATTAATCCGTCTGATGGACTGTTCGGTGTCGCTTTCCACCAGGAATATCCCCTCAGTATGATACTGACCTTCAGAACACTCCACTCTGAGGATTCTTCTCTTATGGCCATTGTTGATAGGCTTCCTCAGAAGTCCACACACCATGATGTGTGGAACTGACTGGAGTATTCGTGACACGTACCACTCTTTAGCTGTTGAGCGGATACCTGACTCCATCAAGAATCCTACTGTTTGGGGTTTCAGGTCCAACAGATCAAGATTTACCCAACCTGCCAGGATCGTAATTTATTCTGTAACAATTAGAAAACCAAGGTTCAACCCGAAACTTCGGGCATCCCACAAGTACACGGAGTTCACATTCAGAATTCGAGTGAAACCGCATTTTTTGTTTAGTTAACAGCCACAGGCCATGCAATTTTGAAATTTTATTAAATTTTCGCTTGAAATGAACATTAGATCAAAGGAGTTTTGTTATGTGATATTCAACGCGCTCCGTCAACCCTGTCGGTGTTTTTGGAGGCGCACCCTGCTGTGTGAAAGCGTGGTTAACAGTGCCAGTTAGTGACTTAGTTACATGATGACAAATTGTTCCTACATGGTAACACAAGTAAAGACAGGGTAGTACACTTCACACATTTGTCACTTATGTTGTAAAGCACTGCTGTCTACAAGAGAGGCCGCATGAACAACTGTGTTATTGAAGTTTTCTCCCCGCCAACGTCAGTCAAACTTATCTTCACAGCATCTAGACTTTATGAAATCAAGGCAAAATGTTGTGGACCGCCAGCATTTTGAATAAATGATAACACAAAGAAAGGAATGGAACTGAACTCTACCTCTGATTGAAGCCGTCCGTGGTGTTCACTCAGGTACATTATGTAATCGGAAAATGTGATAATCATTGGAAACCCTTGAAGACAAGTTTTTGAAAAATGATGCTACGGGCGATATTAGCGACCGAGTTCAGCGAAATCAACGCCCTACCACGTGATATGAAATCCGTGACTGAAGAACGAGGGTAACTATATCCTATTAGAGTGCGACTTGGTAGTTGGCCATTCGTAACAGGACGTTTTGGTCTGAAAATGCTAGCTGAAAGGTCCGAGTTGGAGTTTTCTTTGTGGTTTGTCAGATAAGCACTGTCAGAAACAGTCGTGCCGTACTTCACCACTTTCCTGTGCAGACTGACTTCACTTTCCGGATAAAACCTTCACTGAGAAGTCAAGAAGAATCTACTGTTGTCCGGCTGACAACTTCAAATGTTTAGTATAACAGTTCAATTGGTAGAGAGCATTTGTGTCCCCAGGAAGTCGCCAAAGAGATCTGAGAAGGGAAAAAGCGACTGCCTGACCAAAACGGGGTTCTTCATCGGCCGGGTGTTTCATGTCGAGAAGAGCTGCTCATTGGACTTATCGCAAAACGACCCTTGTTAATTGTTTTACAAGGATATGATGTTTGACCAGATTCAGAAATAGGTTACAAGTTCTGGACAGATTTCTTCCAGTTTTGCTTGCTTGTGTGTAAGAGGTTCCAAGGAACTTGTTGCTTACAGGGAACGGTCAGGTTGGTAATGACCGGTGTTCGCGCAATGGAAGAAGCACTCCGTCACGAAGAGACCTCCACAGAAAGAACATCTAGATGGGAGCAAATTTGTGATGCACTCTTCCCGGTGAAATGGATCCGGGAAGATCTGGCAAGATCCTCTAATATTAGATGGGAGAATGCTTTACACATGGGTCACAACAACTAAGCCTTGCGTTGGTTGACAGTTGTCGCTTTCCAACTAAGTCAGCTGCCCTGAGACAAGTCAGACAAACCAAGCAAGTGAAACTCACTTTGTGGTAGGATACACCTCATTATTTTCTCTTAGTTTTGAGTTGACACCGGGCTATTTTTACCGGCACGCATTTCTGAGCAACAACTTATACTTTTTTAAGAAACCTGAAGTTTTGCGCTGGAACAGGGCAACCGAAAGATTGCGGATTGATTGGTCATGAGGTTGAGCGTACAGGTCAGAGCAA